ATTTTGATGAACTTCACCCCTCCAACTTTTAATTTCTTCAATTGAGTCCTCTTTCTTGAGTTTCTTTTCCAATTTCTTCTTAAATTTCCTTTTGCATGTAGTCCCTGAAACAAAAATAAAAATATAGATAGCTTAGTTAAATAAAAGGGAAAAATTCATATTTTTATATTTTTGATTTTTCCTCTTTTTTTTTGGATGAAAATTTGAGTTATGACAACTGTAGGGTAATAAGGCTTGAGATAAATTCCATTGATTTTCCTGGGATGAAGCTCTCCATCAAGTGACTCCAACCAATAAGCATCCCCTTTCAACACTTCATGAATTCGAAATGGTCCTTCCCAATTTGGGGACCATTTCCCAAATCTGTAATCTTTCTTGCCAAGAGGTAAAATTGCTTTCCAGACCAAGTCACCAACTGCTAGATTTTTACCTTTTACCCTTTTGTTGCAAGACTTTGCAAGTTTGAGCTTTTGAGCTTGCAATCTATCCAAAGCTATCAAACGTGTGTCTTTAAGGTCCTCAAGCTCAAGTATCATCGCCTCATCATATTCCCCATACTGGGGATTATGTTGAATTGCTATTCTTAAAGACCTGGCTGTTAACTCCATTGGCAAGATTGCATCGTGGCCATATGTCAAGGCAAAAGGTGTCATCTTGGTTGAACTCCTTTGTGAAGTTCTATAAGCCCACAGTGTTTCAGACAACAGTTCATGCCATCGTCTGGGGTTGTCATCTATCATTTTTTCAAGCAAATTAATCACCACCTTATTAGAAGCCTCCGCTTGCCCATTAGCTTGTGCATAATGAGGAGTAGAATTTAACAAACGGAAACCCATTTCCTTTGCAAATGCCTCCACTTGATGGCTGACAAAAATTGTGCCTTGGTTTGTGGTAATTGTTTCTGGCAGACCAAATCTGTGAATAATGTCCTCTTTGATGAACTTGATCACGTCAGATTGATCTACCTTCTTCATTGGTTTAGCCTCCACCCATTTGGTAAAATAATCCGTTGCCACTATAATAAATTAATGACCTTTTGATGAAGGGGGATACACCTCACCAATCAAGTCAATAGCCCAGCCTCGAAATGGCCACGGTTTCACAATAGAGTTAAGTTCAGAGGCTGGAACTCTTTGAAGTGGCCCATGGATCTGACAAGATTTGCAACCCTTAGCATAAGCAATACAGTCTTTCAAGACAGACGGCCAAAAGAAACCATGTTTGCAAATCAGCAGCACATTTTGACCCTAGCCTAGTGTGCACCACAAATTCCATCATGGACATCAGACAGCATCTGGAAACTTTCATCTGGACCCAGACAACGTAGCAGTAATTCATCATGGCCTCTCCTATAAAGCACATCCTCAATCAAGACATAATTAAGAGCTTGCATTTTGGTTTTCCTAGATACCTTAGCGTTTTGGTCCTTAAGGTACTACATAATTGGAAAGCGTCAGTCTGTCTGGGTAACATCAATGCTGCAGGTAGAAACTGTCATGCCACATTGATGAATTGATGGCAGACTGCACTTTTCAACTATTATAACCTTCTACATTACACCTTCAGGAATTCGCAGACCTGAAGCAATCTAGGCCATTTCATTAGCTTCATAATTCTGGTCTCTAGGCACATGTCTGATGGACACATCGTCAAACTCTTCCAGTAATTGCACAGCCAAGGCAAAATAAAGGGCTAAAGCAAGGTTAGTACATTTGTACTCACTAGACAATTGCTTCAAGACTAGCTGTGAGTCCTCTATTACCTCAACCATGGATACTTTAAGCTCCACCAACATCTCAAGACCAATAATCAAAACTTCATATTTTGCTTGATTATTTGTGCAATCAAAATCCAGCTGGAAAGACATCTGTGTTTTCAGCTCAGACGGGGAGATTACCACGACTCCAGCTCCAGACATGGTTTCTATACTAGATCCATCAAAAATAAGTTTCCAGGGAACTAAACTTATTGAAAACAAGTTAATCCATTTTTCTTCGTCTGCTTCCACTTCCAGACATGGATGATCTGCAAGAAAGTCTGTCAGTGCCTCTCCCTTAATAGCCTTCTGTGGTATATACTTCAAATTAAATTCAGACAAGGCTAGAATCCATTTACCTATTCGGCCTCTTAATAAAGGGCGAGACAACATATATTTGACAATATCAGTCTTAGCAACCACATAGACCTCGGAATAAATCAAATAATGTCTTAATTTTATTGCAGCAAAAAAAAGAGAGCAAGACACAACTTTTCGATTGAAGGATATTTCACTTCGATCTGGGTCAAACATCGACTCAAGTAATACACAGCCTGCTCCTATTTTTTATCATTTTCCTGCGCCAACAGACATCCTATGGACTTGTCTGCGGCGGATATATACAAAATTAAAGGCTTATTTTTCACAGGCGGTACAAGTATTGGTGGTCTGGATAAGTACCGCTTTATCATATCAAAGGCAAACTGGTGGTGTTCTTACCACTTAAAATCTGCCTCAGACTTGAGTTTCAACAGAGGAGAAAAGACTCTGGTTTTCCCAGTCAAGTTATAAATGAAACGTCTTAAAAAAATTAACTTGGCCAAGAAATCTTTGCAACTCCTTCTTGTTCTGTAGTGGTTTTGCCTCAATCACAGCCTTGGCTTTGTTCTTATCAACCTCTAGACCACACTCGTGCACCAAGTACCCAAGAAAGTTACCAGTAGACACTCCAAAGGCACACTTTAGTGGGTTCATTTTCAAGCCATGATGCCTCATCCACTCAAAAGCTTTCCTCAAATGGACTAGGTGGTCTGCATACCCATGTGACTTCACCACAACATCATCAATATAAATTTCCATGAACTTACCAATCATATCATGAAAAATTGCATTCATGGCTCTTTGATAGGTAGCTCCAGCATTCTTCAGACCAAATGGCATCATAACCCATTCAAAAGTTCCAACAGCACCTGGGCATCAAAAGGCTATCTTTGGAACGTTTGCGTCTGCAATAAAAATTTGGTTATATCCACTATGGCCATCCGAGAAGGATAAAATTTTGTGACGGGCTACTCCATCAACCAACAAGTCTACAATTGGCATAGGATACTCATCCTTTGGTGTAGCTAAATTCAAGTTTCAGAAATCAACACAGACTCTTAATTTTCCATTCTTTTTCAGCACAAGCACTACATTTGACAACCATTCTGCATACTTGCATGTCCGAATGAATCTAGCTTTTACTAGCCGCTCAATTTCTTCTTTCACCTTCAAAGTGACCTCTGCAGACATGCGTCTAGGCGGCTGTTTATACGGTCTGAATCCTTCTACAATTGGTAGTTTATGTTCCACCAATTTTCGATCCAGACCTGGCATTTCTGAGTAATCCCAAGCAAAATAGTCTTTAAATTCATGCAAAAGTCTGACAATTTGATCTCGTGTCTGTGGCTTAAGAGAGTCGTTGATAAATGTTACCTTTGGTTCACTTTCAGACCCTAGATTGATCTCCTCAAGTGGGTCTTGAACTTCAGCTTTTAAATCATCCAACTTGGCTGGGGCCAGATCCAGCTCCTTCAAAGTTATTTCATCACCCTGGTCTGCCTCCTCTCCTTCATGAACAATTTCAGACTTGTCTACTTGAATTGCTTTTTCAGCAAAATAGGCCGCTAATTTCTTTGTTATCTCCAACACGGCCTTTTTCTCTTTTCTGTCTCAGATGAGCTTGCTTCATTAGATTTCTTCAATTTTTAGTTTCCCCTTCGACCTATAAGGAATTATTGTTGTTGGCCGAAGAAGTTCATCACAGACTTCCTCTACAACACGCTTAGACAATAACGGTCTGCTGCATGCTGTTATCCCAATCAGCTTCCCATGTCTATCCATTCCAAAAAAACCGAATGGTACCAATGTCTTCTTCATAATATCTAGCCTACATCAGGTGGGTATTGGTTGAAAAAGGCTTATCATCTGCAGACACGACCTCAGCCTTGCCACCATTCTAGAAAATCAGTTTCTAGTGAGGTGAAGAAGGGACACACCAACTTGAATGAATCCAGTCACGCCCCAAAAGTGCATTATAAGTAGCAACAGTATCCACCACAAAAAACGCAGACATTAGTGTCCTATTTCCCATTGTTAATTCAACAGGCAGCACACCCCTTGAACGATTCACCCCTCCTGTAAAATCACTAATTGTAACCTCAATGTGCACTAAATCATCAAGAGACTTGCCTATGTTGTAAAGCATGCAAGTTGGAAGGACATTGACTGCAACTCCATTATCCACCAAGACACGGTTGATTGGAGTTCCATCCATGTGAGCATTGATATAAAGTGGCCTAATGTATCTGGCCATCTTTTCTTCTGGTTTTTCAAACACTATTTTGTCAGCCATGTCCTCCTTTTCATCATTTTGTCAGCCATGTCCTCCTCTTCATCATCCTGAGCTGGAACAATGACTACCTCTTCTTCTGTCTGTTCTGGGAACTCACAGACGATTGGTTCCTCCTCCTTCTTGGCTTAGAAAACTAAGGGTAATGTCAGCACCAGACATGACAAATTCACTGAGAGTTCCCCAAAATGAATAGTGTCATCTTCTTTTGATCAGTTCCACGATTCCCAGACTGTTCTTGTGCTTCAAAAGTTGCTTTCAAAACTCCGTCTAGACTCACAATGACAGATGCCACCTTTGGAGAGGTTGGGGATTGGCCATCCCCCTTCAGTAGAGTCTGGGTTGCAGCCTCCTTTTTCTTTTTTCTCACCCACACCATGTTCCTTTTTGTAGGTTGGCGTGGTTTGCGAGATGAACTTCCCTTAGCCTCCATCTGCTTTTGTTGCCTTTTTCGCTCTTTAGCCCTTTTGCGTTGCAGTCTGCGCCTCCAGGTTTTGGGATTCTAGGCTGGAAACTTGGGATAACTGACTTTCTCCAACCGTCTGGAAGGTGACCTGAGTGGCGGTTTGACCATCCTTGGAGACCTAGTACCAATTGAGTGACGTCTGGCACTTTCTAGGCTGAAGCTCCTGGTCACAATGATCCTTCCTTGCCCCCCGAGCCTCTGCTGGTTTGACTTGATGCTCTTGCTACGTCTAGATCTCTGTGCCTCAAGAACCCACCTCAAGTCTTCGGTAGCAAGGTTCTTTTGAGCATAAGGCAGACTACAATTTCTGGCAACACTCCTGAGGTCTGCAACATTCACGCCGACAGACATAGCTGGAAAAGGGTCTACATCTACTCCCATAGTTTCCTTCGCTTTATCTGGAAATCTCAATATGTTTTTATCAATCTTTTCCAATGGCCTCAAGGTTGGCCCATGGTCTCTATTGAAGAATTGAGCTGGTTGATTCTGCAGACCACGCCGTTCTGGTTGGGCTAGAGGAACTTGTGGCTGGAAAAAGTTCCTTGGATGGGGTTGATGATGAGGACCCACATTTCCCTTCCTTGTTGGCGAAATATACCTATGTTGAGGTTGATGGCCATGGTCTGCAACAGGAGTAGCAGCCTCCATCAATTGGTGTTGTCTTTGTCCTTCACCAATGACAAAATGCTACTGTTGAATATTGGGATGAGGCTGATTCCCTTGCCCCTCGAGTGCTAGGATTGGGGCTTCCTGAATCTATCTGGGCATTTCAACGACTAGAGGAAGGATCTCAGGTCTGGGCTGTCGCACTTGCTCAACCACTTGTTCTGAAACAGCCTGTAGTATTCTGCGACTTTCTTCCCTAGTTTCTCGCATCACCCTAGTGCCTTCTTCAAAGACCCGTCTCATTTCTTTTATACATTGTCTAATTAACTCTTTCTAATGTATGGAGGATTCTGCTTGACTGTCAACAAGTCTCCGTATAGCCTGGTTCTGTTCTTTGAATACTAAATCCAGACGTTCAGTCATACCTCTAAACACATTACTTGATTCAGCAAAGTCACCCCCACGGTCTGTTTCTTTCTCATTAAATATTGAATTCCCATAGGACCGTTCTGCCAAAGGTGACACTGGGAGAAAAGTGATGGGATCATTTTCACCCTCAGAGTGGAGTGGACTGTCATCTGCACGTTCAGCCTGGGCTGGCTGAACTCTTTATCTTTGCTCTTTCTCAGTGGCATGGCTCCAAACGCCTCTGAATGTATGAACAGAGGATTTGTGAACTGCAACTGATACATCTTGCTGGTTGTCCCACTAGGCGTGCCAACAAAGGATTGTTTCCTCAAAAATCCTCAGCCGACCTTTACCACGTGAGTTGGATGCTAGGCGTGCCACTTGCTTTGTCTAAAAACAAGAAAATAGGATTTTCCAGATAACCCTTCTCCTTTTCAACGGTCGACCTCCAATAGGATGGCTGGAAAGAACGTCTGTGAAATGAATTGCGCCCTAGACAATGTTACAAAATAGAGGGTAGAGTTCTGCAAAATAGGTTACTAATTGCCTTGGAAATCTCCAAGGACTTCACAACCAAACGAGTGTAATAAAGTTACAAATCCTAAAATAAATGCAATATCCTAAAGCAATTAAATTAACATGAAGTAAATAATAGAACATAACATGTCATAAAGATTAAATTCGCAGACAACAGAAAAAGTAAAATAACAGACAATGATTTCTACTACACAGCTCATAATGATAACTAAAATTGAAGAAGAAACTATAAAATGATTAAAGTCTGGAAACTTATAAATTTAAATCTGGAAATTGAAATTAAACAAACTGCATGTCTGGATATTGTGCAGAAACAAAAGAACAAAGGTAGAAAATGTTCAACCTATTTACATGAAATAATAACATAACTAAATCCATAAAAGGAAGAAGAACTAACCGAATCAAAAAGACAAACCTGTTTTGAAGGCTAAGTTGCTTCCAAATGCTTAAAAATTAATCTAAATTGGAATTTGCGGGAGGAAATATGAACAAAGATGAACAAACCTAGGCTAAGGCTATGAACTAATCTGGAAAATCTGGAAACTATTTCTGAAATTTGGAAAATGTAGTCTAAAAGCTGAAAAACATGCTTTGGGCAGTCTGTGTGTGTGTTGGATAAGCCCCGAAACTGTTCTCTTCTCTCTCTGTATTTATTTTCTTCGGTGTTGGTAACTTCCTCCATGATCTTCGATACTGTTCCTCGATTTTCGGTACTGTTCCTCCATGATCTGATAGTGGGATTGCAGGTCTGACAGTTGTTTGACAGTTATCTAATAATTTTTATTTAACCTATCTCCAACAACCTTAAAGATAACTACCTAAAAATCCTCAATTTCCCATTTTAAATCAAATTCAAACTACCAGATCCAATCTTATCTTCTGCCACCTAAGATCCAACCTCCTTGAAAATCCGTTTGGGCCATTAAATTATAAGCCAGCCCAACCCAAATTCAGCCTATTGATTTTCTTGATAATTAGGTTTATCTTGACACGTGGCCTTACCCTATTGGTTTATTTTAAGTGTAAACATTGACATTTCACTTTATTATTATTTTTTTGGTACATGACATTTCATTTTATTTTATTTTATTTTATTTTATTTTTTTTACAAGGATAATAGTTAGGAAGTTAGTATGAATTAGTTTTTAGTAACTGGTCTTCAGACCGGGTGAACATTCCACTCCCTTAAATGAGGTGTGCGGCCATCAAACCGCTTTTTGGTGAAACTTACGACGGTGGTGGAGCTCGAAACTCCGACCACTTCACCCCCACTTCACCCAAGCAGGCTTGGGGTCGAACCATTAAGTTTAAAAGCTCGGTTTGACATTTTACTTTATTAGTAACAAAGGAGTGGGGACTTCTATTATTAAAAGTTTATTTTTTATTAATAATTAATTATTTTGTAATCTACCCATTCTATCTCTTATATACCCTTGAACCTTTTTTTTTATACTCAAATATTTTTAGGGGTGTTTGGTTGGGCAAATTATTCTTCTAAAGTCTTTTAATTTTTTTTAAATTCTCTCAAATTTTATTTAATTATTTATATATTTATATATATTAATATTATAATAAAATAAAAATAAAAGTAATATTTGCAATTTTAATTTTTGAGATACAATTCTTAATTTATACCGTTTTCTTTTTACATTTTAAAAAATATTTTTCTTTAATTTTTCTTATATCAAATTCCTTTATAATTTTTTATTAATTTTTTCTTATATTAATTTTTTATTAAATATAAAAAATAATAATTTAACAAATTTTTAATAAAATTTTACTCTAAACTTTATTAAATTTTAATGTAATATTTACCAATTTTATATACCATAATTTTTTAATAGAAACTTTTGTAAATAAAATTGACGTGACTGATTCAACACGCCTTAGAGATAAAGACTTTCGGCGACCAAACGCATCGGAAAAGAACCGGGTTCTTTGAATAGAAAATTCGGTCCGAAATAATGCCCCTAACGGCTTAACCTAAACCTAGGCCTTCATTCTCTTTCACGCACGCGCTCCGTTGCTTGCGACGATTCTGTAGCAGAGGTTAGCTGAGCAGAGCAGGGAATTAATTGTTCTTGTTGGTAGCACGAGAACGGCAGCTTCCAGAGAAATTAATGGCGGATAAGGCCGCGGAAGAGATCTCCACGTACAGCCACGCACCGAACCACTCCTCCATTCCGGCCACCGACAGCACTATTTGGGCCGACGTCTCGCCTCTCCTCGAAGCCGCATGTAGAGGTGAGAATCTGTCCACTTAGATCCTGTTTGGTTTTTGAGGAAAAAGAGAAGTAATAGGAATGATTTTTTTTTTTTTTTTAAGACATTCTTGAAAATCAGAAGCACTAGTTTAAACGACCCTTATTAAGTGATTTAGATGAACAGGATTATAGCTTCAGTAGAAAATCTGAAGTCTTAATGCTTACTTTGGTTGCAGAGAACAAGTAGAATAAGTGAAAATTTTCGATTTTCAATGTTGAAACCTTTCAGTTGTTTTTTCCTTTGATCGGAAGAGTTATATGGAGTTATGTAATTACATAAAACAGAACAGTTATGAAACTGGGTTGGATTGTCCAGAGAATCTATAACCACTTCTTTCCCCCTGAAATCTCCATTTTCTCTTCCTTAATTTGTTTGTAATGTTTGGTTGTAGATCTTGGAGATGGGGAACTCATTCATGGGAATAATTTCAATCTTTATGCTGCCATGGCTGCTTTAGAGGTATTGTTACATTTTAACTTGGAAGTTAGTTATTTCTTACCAATTATTCTAATATGGAACTTGCTTTCTTTGGGTTGCTTTTTAAATTTAATGGTAATTTGCATGATATGTTTAGATGAGATAGTTATGGGTTGGGAGGTGCAATAGCTGTCTTAGTTATTCTTACCTCCTATTAGATGTGACATGGATCGAACATGTAGGAGTTTCATCTTTATGCTTGACTTTCTGATTCCTCATCTGCTTTTTCCATGTTTACATTTGTGTTTCCTATCCAATGTTTAAGTTTAATAAACCTGTACTTATGAGGTTTTCTTTCCCTTTCATTTGTCAGATTATGGATCCAAAAATGGATTCAGGTATTGTTTATAAATACTATTCTATTGATGAAGCCATTGAAAACGGTGCTGCTCCAGTTCCTATTAGCCTTGATAGAACTGTTGATGTCCAATGCACTATTGACGTCATGGACCATCTTCTAGCCTGTGAGGTATTAACAATTTATTTCAATCAAAGATATTGCTCTGTATAGCACTGATAAAGTTGGACATGAGTCTTCACTGTATCTAATACAATTTAAAATGCCCTAAATGCTTCCAAGATTTGTAAGGGTTTGGATATACAGGTATAGGAGGTGAATTTTATTTGTTTTCTAGTTTTTTATATATATAAAGCTTTTCCAAACCGATGGTGACAATAACTATGAAGGGTCCACCCTGCTACTGAATGGCCATTTTTGGTTTGACCTTAAGATGTGATGTGTCCTATCCATTTATCATGCCTGTGTTTGTGCTTGGTCCCGTATGTTCTTTTGGTATGTATTGTTTAAATAATAATCTTCCATGGCAGGCAGCATGGCACAAGGGTCATCCTTTGGCACAAACTGTCTTTTCATGCATCTATCTTCTGAGGCCTGATAGGACATCGTCACATGCCTTACTACATTCTTATTGCAGAGTTATACGTGCAACCTGTAAAGCAGTTGTTTCAGTTGTTTCGGATGCGCGAACACATGAAGTAAAGTATTCCAACAACCTTTTCTATTTTCATTTTAAGAAAAATTTTATCCGTTTCATTTTTTTTACTATTTTTAAATAATTATTATTTTACAATGTTCTAATCTTTTATTTAAATTGATATCAAATATACTTCTGCAGTAGTTTCCTTTGGTTCTGGTGCTTGACGTTAGCTTTCCTATTTAAAGCAATGTCATTAATATAATATAGGTCTCTATGGGTAATCAATGTATTATCGAATAATGATTGTTCCTGATTCTGAAATACTGTTTTATTTCCTGATGGTTAGAAATGTTTTTTTACTAGTTTTTCTTCATTCACAGTCATTGCTTAAAAATTTTAATTGATATTGTAATTAAAACTTAATATTCACTTTTAAATCTTCATTCTTTTGACAGGAGGAGGATCTTTTCACGATGACTTATGGTCTTCCTTTAAATGGGGATGGGGATGAGAAGTGCTTGTCAATGTTGAATGCCGTTGAAGAGACAATCTCTCGCCAGTTGCGTGCTTGTAAGGCTATACCATCAAAAAGACGGGTAGTAGAGGGTTAGCATCTGGCCACTAGCTTAAATTTTATTATTCTCTATATGCTTTTTTTTCTAACTGAAGCATTATACCTCAAAATGTTGAAGATGTTAAAAAGAGAGATGTTAAATATCAACTTTTTGCTGCTATGTTTATTGATCTCTATGTTTTCATCACCCTTCCATGCGAAAACATGGTAATATCTTAGAGGCAGCATCTTTCTTCATGACTATGTCTAAACTATTGCAGTATATACTCTTCATGACTAGGTCTGAGCTATTGCAGTATATAATCAGTAATATATTAATTAAGTCCATAATGTGGAGCTTTGGAATTGAAATCCAAAAGTGAAAGGCCCTTCTTGATAATAGTTTCATCATGGACTTTCTGCTTAAATACTTGATAAGCTATCAGTAATTGTGTGATTCGATTCCAGAAGGTTCTTCTTCCTTCTCTATTTGATGAAGGGAATATAATTCACTGCCTCTAAGCTGAAAACAAAGTATTTTGATTCTTCAATTAAAACCTGTCTTGTGATATTCCTTGATTAGAAGAAAAAAAGAAACCAGCTCACTTGGCTGGGTTCTGCATTGGATTGATTGTGTTTTTGCCATACCTATTCATAAGTGAGTTTTTGGCCTATATCACATGAAAATGAATTTTAGGACAATACTACAAGTGGTTCTACAATCTAAATGTTGTATCAAATAATATTGTTTTCCCTTATATCAAATAATATTTAAAAGCCTAAACATGTTTGAAGTTCAAATTTTGAACTGGTGGTTAATACCTGGGTTGTTGTAAAGATAAAACCAGTTTTATGTCTTTTTTTCCTTTTTCAAACTTGAATGGACTCTTAATACTCCCACCAGTGCATTGTAAAGGAAAAATCACAAACAAATTGCTTGGTAACTGAGTTTCTTGTTGATTTTAAATTTCATTTGCTTCTTACCTCTATAGCTTTCAACTCTTTGATGTTAGCTTCAAATGATGGTTATCCCTTGCATGTGTTTTTTCACATTCATGGTCTCAAGTTTGCATGGTATCTTAATGTTATGACAAAATACTTTGTTTGATTTATTAGATATTTTGGTGCAGATTTAGAGCCATTACAGTCTGATCCTAATCTGGAAGAGGGTTACTGCAAAGCTTTGTTATGCCGTTTACGCTTTCGTAAGGTCTTGAGCTGTATTACTTCTTTAACAATTTTGGATTATGGACTGTATCTATGCCCTGTATAGCGTTTGCAGGTTACTGAGATATTCCTTTAGTGTGTAACTTTTGAGTGATCAGCCTTAGTTCTTGATTGGATGGAAAATGAGTTTGAATGAATTATCTAAATTTTTTAGTAAATTTTGATAAATGACATAAAAGTTCATCATGTGGCCTATGTTCTAAACTTTTTTTGATTCTTAGTTATGCTTTCTGGTCATGTAGGCTTTCTATATCACTAATATCTTCCCCGGCTTTTCCCTTTCTTCAGCATTTTTACCATGTTCTTACATGCATGAAGCGACCACAAGGAAGAGGATTGGAATTGGCAAGAAAACATATAGTGTCAAGCATGTCAGAGTTGGAATCCATTCTCAAATCTGCAGATTTCCTTAGGTCTGACACTAGTTGTGTATGTGAAGATGGCATAGAAGAAAAAACAACTGCTTCTGGCCATCAACCAGTTGGATTTGATGCTAGTTTAAACATTAGATTATGTGCCCCCACACCACCTCGTGCAAGTAAAATTCCTAGCTGGAAAAAGGTGAGAAATTATAGAGCATATTTTGTTATCTAAAAATCTACATTGATTATTGTAACATGTCCTGGTTCGTCTCTCAGGCCATCGACTATTTTGTAAAACTTCTCCATGATTTAGATGCTATATGTTCCTACTCATTGGACCCTCATTTCGAAGGTCTTCTGCGTTTTGTGGTTCAATTCCAGAAGTCTCAACCTGATCTGGTTGCAAGGGCTCATCTTCAGGTTGGATTTCATCTCTTCTTCTTTCCTTTCATATTGGACAACCACTCATGCTTTATTATTATTATTTTTCTTTTTTTCTTTTCCTCTAAAGTTATAGTTTAAACATTTCTCTCTTTCTTCCCTCCTTTTTTTTTTTTTTTTCTCTCTTTCTTGCCTCATAACTCAATGTTGAACCCCATGTCATGTTATGTTTTCTTCAACCAATTATTGGATATTTGATTGATGCCAAAGGAGGCTTGTAATATATACATTCTTCAAAATAATGTGGAATGCAATATACTTGTGGCTTATGTTACTTGATTGAGTGGGCTCAGTTAAGATAAACTTATGATTAAATATGGTTGCTGAGTTTTGTTTGGATAAACGATGTCTGAATGCTTTTATTGTTTCTGGGTAGATTATTTTCTACTCACAACTTGCTTATATGCTTCAATTTTTATTTCTTGTTCAGATTGGGGATTTTTGAAAACTCAGCCAGGGAGAAAAAGATGGTTTTATCAGTTATCTGCAATTCTACATTTGTGTGAACATAAGTATCTTGTTTAAGGGATAGAATTCATCTTTGGAAATAATTAACAAAAGCATAACTGCAATTCTACATTTGTGTGAACATAAGTATCTATCTTCTTGTTTGAGGGATAGAATACATCTTTGGAAATAATTAACAAAAGCTTTATGCTTTCCTTGAGAAATGGAAAGGGACATTAGCATATTGGTCATGCCAATGACTGAATTAGTTAGATAGCTGACAAAGATTAAGATGTAGAATATTGTTAAACTAAGTTTTCTGCCAGTGTGTTTTTCCTAACTTCTGAAAGAATGAAGTGACATGAATGTTTGTGAATACCATTTAAAATGGATCTTTTGTAGGAAGAGATGTTTAGTTGAAAAATGTAGAGTTAGAGTTGGTAATTCTCAAAGCTGGTTTTTTGATCATTAATGTTGAAATAAATTCTAAATGTTGTTGGTCTATTCATGTTTGCTTTTTTCTGTGTCACTCTTTTGTTCTTAACCTTCTCAACTTGACAGCTTCTGCTTGTTCAAGAAGGGAAACTTTACGGTAGGGACTCAATCTTTGCTGTTATTACTAAGGCTGCTGCACTTCCTGAAGCTGTTAAAAACCATGATCTCCAGAAGAATGAATCTTTTTTACAACTAGGACAGGTGAAGACAATTTATCATTGGTTGTTCTAGTATATTTTATTTTGATACTGTTTCAGTCTATAGGATCTCTTTAAGATTTATGGATGTAGTTTTGAAGTAAAATATTTGGAGTGATGGAACCATGAATTAGAAGAAATATGAAGTTTTAGTTGTTTTGAACCTGAATTTGCTGTTTGTTTGAAGTGATAAGCTTCCCAAGCAGCTTTTAGCATCCTCCTGCACCTTTAGTCTTGAGAAAGGCATAACATCTGATAACTGCAATTCCATTACTTAATGCAGTTAGTTATGAATTTGCTCAGAATCCTTTGTACAAATATTGCATGGCAGAGGCGTAAACTTGGGAAGATTTTACAAGATTGGCGTGTTATTTATGTACAGGTTTGTTCCTACATAGATTCCTGGTTTAATGCAACTTGTTTCATTGTTCTTTTGCTATTTTCTGAAACTCATTTGATTGTCTTTTGGGTGTTTTATCAAGTATTATTAAAGGTGCACATTGAGGCACTAAGGCCATGGCACCATTTTGGCCAAGGCTAGGTGCTGTTGCTGAGAGTCTAATCTAGCAGGCATGCCTAAGGCACTAATTTTAGCTGCAAAAAGGCACATCATACACCAATTTTTTTTTTTTTTACCATTTCTACAAGTTCCTACATTTCATTGTAAGAATTCAACCTGCATCATCTCCTTACTTGACTCTCAATAAGGTAAATTCCTTATTTGGTAGAGAAACATTTGAAATCAGCTAGAATAAAAGTCAGTAATGACCATAACAGTCAATTACAATATTCCGTTAGGAGGAGATTCAGCCATTTCATTGATTTGTTAGTGTACATACAAGGTTGATGAATAACTAGCCAACAATTTTGCTTCAAATATTGCTCTCCTTTTTGTCATTGGGATGCTTTATTTCATTGGTAATAAAAGAAACAAAAGAAATTGTGACGTTTTATTAATTTGTGAATATTATGTGATATTTTAGAAATGAGCACCTTATGTTTCTATGGCATGTGCCCCTTGTGGTGCCCTAGTGTGCTTTGTGCCTTTAATAACACTGGTTTTATCTCCTCTTGATCTGGTTGAGCTCGTCTTATTATTTTCTTAAACATTACTTCTGTTACTATTTCTATTTCTGGTTAGTGTTGGATGTCTTCATTTCTTTGGGGACATCTAATAGAATTGGAAAGTAACCTTGGAAGCATAATTCTTTGTTAATTTCTGTGGTGTATTTTGTTAAACTCAGTGTAAAAGTTCCTAATTTTCGTAATATTATGGTAACTATTAATCAATGTTTTTAACCATATAACACGTTTTAGTGCAGAGCTGCCTTTGCCAGGGAAAAACTGATAGCTAAAATTACACATTCCCATTCTTTCCTTTTCTCTAAAATTTAAAAAAATAAAAAATAAAAAAATGTTGGGAGAGCTTGATTGATATTTCATGGAAAGAAAATAGGGAGAGGGGAGGATGAGACACTTCTGTTTCTACAATTTTTTACTAATTTATAATTGCAGTTATAATTTTAGTGTTTCTAATGTCATCTTCAGTGTAAAAGATCCTAATTTTCCAAATATTATGGTAACCATTAATCAATTTTTTTAACCATGTAACATATTTTAACACAGAGAGCTACCTTGGCCAGAAAAAAGTAGAGGGCTAAAAATACGCATTTCTCGTTCTTTACTTTTCTCTAAAATTAAAAAAAAAAAAAAAAAAAAAAACTTACACTATTAAATAATTTTTAATAAAGAATTAATTAAAAAACACTACACAGTTCAATTTGCCAACTTAAACAAT